GCGCCGGTCCTGACGTGGCGCGGTTTTTTTTTTTTTTTTTTTTTTTTTTTTTTTTTTTTTCGCGATTTCGCATTGTTGGTTGCTGCGGGAGGTTGGGTGGTGCTTTGTGTGGTTCGGCGTGGTCGGTGGGCCGGTGGTTGGGGTGAGTCGGTGGGGGGATGCTCGGGCTGCGTCGGTGGGTCGGTGCTGTGGGTGGCTCGGTATGCCGGTGGGGGGGTGGTTGGGGTGAGTAGGTGGGGGAGTGCTCGGGCTGGCTCGGTGGGTCGGTGCTTGGGTGCTCAAGGTGGGTTCGTGGTTGGGTATTCGTGTGAGGGTCGGTGGCTGTGACGGTGCGCCTGACGGCAGTAGGCTGACCTGCTGCGCCTGATGCGCAGCGACTGGAGCGCCGGTACTTACGTTGTGTATGTAGCAGGAAGAGAAATGAGAAAAAAAAAGGCTTCGTATCATGATTGCAGTGCGGACGTGGCTGTGAAAAAAAAAAGGAGAAAAAAGAGAAAAAAGGGGAGGGGGCGGGTGGAGGTGTGTGGTGGATGGTTGTTGTATGGTTGTACATGCAGGGGATTGTCATGTGAGAGGCGGTGGGCCCTCTTGCTGAGGCATCGGGGGCTGGAGCCTGTCCCGAGCAATGATGGTAGGTGCGCCACCTGGTGTCCGAAGGTCGCGGTGGGTGTTGTCAGGTGATTATTGACGGTGTGCAGGCTGGTCTTGCCGAGTGGAGGTGGTGGCGGTGTCGTCTGGCTGGCCTTGGCGTGATATCCACAGCATCGAGCGGGGTGTCTTTTATTTTTTCACGATGGGTACGGGGGTGTCGTGTTGACAACGTGCGCATCCAAGGACGATTTTTGACAAGGTGCGGATCTTTCCTTTCATTTTTCTTTCCTTTCTTTTTTTTTCTTTCTGTTTTTTTTTCTTCTGTTGTTATTTTTTTTATTTTTCTGTTTTTTATTTGTGGGTGTTTTGGATATATGCCGGCTGTAGTGTTCGATATCGTGTATTGGGTAGATGTATAAATCATATACTTGGGGCGCATCGAGGTGCGCGGCATCCCGCACGTGCGCTGCAGCGCACTTCGCGCACGACGCGCGCGCATGGGGTGCAGCGCACCCCGAAAATAAGGGGTCGGCCAATAAAAAGAAAAGTTGGGGAGGGGTGTTGTAGGCTCAAGTGGGATGTCGCGTCAAGAAAAAAAAAAAAAAAAAAAAAAACATTTGAGGCCGCGCGGGGCCCCGGAAAAAAAAAGGTGGGGGAGCTGAATTTTCTTTTTTAAGGAAGAACATCAGAATTTCTTTGCACGAGCGAAGCCCGGCGCGTCCAACCTGTCAGAACCTCAACGGTAATGTTCACCAACGGGCTCGCTGCACAACTCGCTGCACTACTCTCAACATGCACAAAAGACAAAAATATTGGCGGTGTATCTTTCCATATTCCAAMGCAAGATTCACTCTCGTTTTGCAGATTTCCAGAGTAGTGCAGCGAGGCCCATATATGGCAATGTATCTTTCCATGTTCAAGCGGAGGATTCAGTCTCATTTGTTCAGAGATTCTCCAAA